GTGAGTAGTCTTTCTCTTAAACTTACAAAATTAGTATCCATGAGGTTTGTTGGAGCCTTCATGGGTTTAACACTGGCTTACTAAATACTGAGTGCCCTTCCTCTGAGGCATGTGTGGTATGCTGTGGTCTGAGCTAGGGGCTTCTGGGAGTCAGCCTAAACCTGGCTTTCTCTGGTATGGTTGCAGTGGGTTACTTGTCTGGATCCCGGAAATCAGAAAGGGCATGGGGCAAGATTCCATGATATTCCAACTGAAGTAAAAAAGAGAGGTCACAAATTTGCCAATGTTTTCTTATTGGTGGAATCCCCAAGCCTCCTCTACCTGCAACAACTTCAGAGTGCCAGCTATGTAACCCTTCACTGTGCCAGCTATGTAAGCCTTCAGACGACCATTCATTATTAATTTGGGTCAAGGCCACTCTTGCAGGAGCCTCCCAGCCATATACATCACTGTCTAAATGTATAAATTCTAAGCCTAATGATGATCTGTATAGAAAAAGTAATGATCCGATAGGAGGGATCACAAAAGTGTTCAAGGAAACAAGCCTTCATGAATATTGAACTACTTGCCTTGGATAGCTCATCTTTTTGGTGTTAAGAATCTAGTAGTATAATTTTATGGTATACTAAGTCACCAGACAAAGATGTGCCTTTGTTCCTGAGACATTCAGAGTAGGACTGGGATATTGTTTGATCTAGATTGAAGTAGCCCATAGCTAAAGTGCACCAAGAGTCATAAACATCACTGTCAGCAGGGACCTGTTGCTAACTTAGTGTATGTTAGTATGTAACATGCTAGTGAATCCTATAAGCACATTCCTGGTGGCAGGCATTGCGTTTCTACTGAGAAATGCTCAAAATATCTTCAGATGATATACGTAACTTATAAATATCCCACATTTTAAAGATAATCTGTGTTAAAGAGAGGACAGTTTTCTTGTACATAATCAGTATCTGCTCAATAGACCAAAGCTAATAACTCACTCACTCACTCACTCCCGTCGAGTTGGATCCAACTCATAGCAACCCTTCTTTGCATTTGTGAGGTGGTATCACTACAGAGGTAGATTGCCCAACCTTCCTTCCGAGGAGTGGCTGGTGGGTTTGAAGCGTCAGCCTTCTGGTTAGCAGTCAAATGTCTTAGGCACTATGCCACCAGAGCTCCCAAAGCTAATAACTATTGATACTAATGTATTGGTTTAGTGTTTCTATTCTTTTGGCAACAGTGAAATTAATTTTTTTCATTCCTCATTTATTAAGGGCATTTCCGAGTCATAATTTGGTAGCCCGAATAGTTCTACTATACAGGAATACCTTGATCAAAATTTCTGCTATAGGTACTTGAGCCAAATACTCAAATACTTGAGTATTTTTGTCCCTTAAAAATTAATAAATTTGTTAACTCATACTGTCTACAACTCCGTATCTTATTAATTTGGTTAATACTTGTTTTCATTCAACAAATATCTATTGAACATCTACTTTGTGGTAGGCAGCAGGCTAGAGGCTGGGGATACAGTAGTGAACAAGGTAGCTAAGTCCTTTAATTACAGTCTGATGATTATCACAGGTCAGTTAACCCTAAGTCAACTGACATTCTCTAATACCTGAGCCTATCCTGAAGGGTTAAATCACGGCTTTAACAGTCACTCAGTGTAGGCTTATCGGGAATAGGCAGGCAATTCTGCCCTTAATTATAACCCTTAGATCTGAGAAAAGAGAAGGGAAAAAGAGAGGAAAGACCTAAGAATTATCAGTTGAAGTGCTAATGCCACTCAAAGTGATGGAAAAGTGGCTGAGGCTGAAGGCAGAACCATAGCACCAAAGCTTTTAAAGCCAATTATTACCCATTTCCCTCAAGTTGCCCAAAGGCCAAACTAATCCCTCAGAGAGCAAAGAAATAAAAGGCAAGACTATAAGAGAAAGTTCTCTGCAAGGAATTTACAGAGCCTGTTTTGGGAGGCATGTCTGGTAAATTCTTGGTTTCAAAAGCTTTTACAATTGTTTTATTACCCATTTAGGGTAATACATTTTGAAAGAGAAGAAATTAAAGTATACCAGACAAAACCTTGGAGGAAGAAAGGGTTACAACTTAACTCATACCTTTTTGTCTTTTACTGTTTAATGATATGAATTAAAGCAGAAGCTGTAGTTGTAAAAGCTTTAGCCTTTTCAGCTGTACCTGTTAAAAATGGTGCTGAACCATGTAAAGTCACTGAGTCCACATCTGACCCTCAGAGCTTAGCCTCACATGGGCCCAGTTTAAACTTGTGAAGTGGACAGAAGGGTATTTTTACCTAAATCAACATAGCAGCATCTCTTACCTCATACCTTGGTGAGGAGAGCTGAGGAAAAAACGTGCATCAGTTGATGCTATGGATGGTCCAGGGCCTTGGCCCTGGAGAAGTCCCCAAATCTAACATTAGTCTCTCACCAGGGGCAGACTGAGCAGTATGGGTTTAGCTTCTCATTTTGCCAACTTCAAGGGCATGATGATCTCACAAAGAATCAAAGATCTCTGAAATGAATGTGTTGTTATTTAATGCCCTGCCTGCTCAAGGCTAGCTTTAAACCGACCTCAGAAATAACAGAAGAGTGGTGGCAGATTTCTGGTTCTTGGATTACATGGAAATTCATAAAACTTTTAAAAATGAAATGTCTACTGGCAGCTCTGCTTTTATCATTAAGATAAATGTCTACAATGTCTGCCTTCTCCTGAAAGAGAGTTCTCAGGTAAAGTATGTGCTGCACTCTGAGCTGGCACATTCAGAGGGGCATCAGGAGATGGTACCGAAAGAACCAAAACGAAAACCCACTTGCTGTCGAGTAGATTCTGATTCACAGCAGCACTGTGTGTGTCACAGTAGAACCAAGCTCAACAGGGTTTTCAAGGCTGTGACCTTTCGGAAGCAAAGCGTCCTTGGTGGACGCAGTGAACCTTTCAGTTCATAGTCCGGTGCTTAGCCATTCACGCCACCCAGGGACTCCCTCAGGAGATGCTAGTCTAGGCTGTTGGAGTAGGTCCCAGCAAGAGGTTTCGGTTATAAAGTGCATGTTTGGGGCATAGAGAAATGAAGAGGTGGGGAACACAGGAGTCAGCAACAAGTTCAGTGATGCCCTCAATCAGCAGGAGATATAGATTAAATAGCAAGGAGATGAGACAGTCAGGGAAATGAGTGGGATATGGGAACAGGAAGGATGGTGTTTTCTTTCCTTTTCCTCCACTGTTAATCTCACTCATCCTCCTACTTGTGGTAGGTATTACCGGCATCTGTTTCTCTGCCACTTCTTTGCAAACTGGAGGATTAGACACCCCTGCCCCTTGAAGTCAGGTGTGGCCATATGACTTGTTTTGGCCAATGACATGGAGTGTGTCATTTCCTGGTTGGAAGTGTTTATTGGCAGAGCTGGACTCTCCACCTGTTTTGCTTTGCCCATGTGAATGTACCTACTATCAATGCCAAAGTGGCATAAATAAGATCAAAGTAGTAGACTTTGTATGAATGAGGAAACCAAACAAATCAAAAACAAAACCAAGCACAACTTTTGTTCTATTAAAGCCACTGAGATTTCTGAGTTGTTAGCTGATCCTAATACCATACTCTACCTTCCTTTCTGACAGTCTGTCCTTCCTCATCCCTTTTTTGTCTCTTTCTCTCACTACCTAGCTCTTCCTTTTCCCCTTTTCCTCTGATTACATTGCTCACTTAACTGGAAATAAAAGGAGATATAATATTTTATATTCCCGATTCTTAATCTACGGGAGCTCTGGTAGTGTAGTGCCTAAGGCACTTGACTGCTAACCAGAAGGCTGGTGGTTCAAACCCACCAGTCACTCCTCGGAAGGAAGATGAGGCAATCTACTTCTGTGTGATACTGCCTCGGAAACCCAAGGAGGGGTCGCTATGAGTCAGGTCCGACTTGGCGGCACATAACAACACAACAACATTCTTAATCTAAAGGAGCCCTGGTGGCACAGTGGTTAAGTGCTTGCTGCTAACTGAAATGTTGGAGGTTCAAATCCAGTCGCTGCTCTGCAGGAGGAAGCTGTGGCAGTCTGCTTCCGTAAAGATTACTGTTGTCGTTGTTGTGTGCCATTGAGTCTATTCTGGCTCATGGTGACCCAAGAGGACAGAGTAGAATCACCCCATAGGATTTCCAAGGCTGTAATCTTTCTACTCTTCCCTATAAGGTCGCTGTTAGTTGGAACTGACTTGATGGTGATGGTTTGGGTTATTCTTAATCATAGATAGACTTTTTAAAAAAATGAGTAAATTTTTTGAATTAAACATTTTATATTTCTTTCTAAAAAAAGCCCTGTGGTAAATTAAAAATCAGCTTTAGCTTGTATAAAAATGTATGTTTTGAAAACCTTACTATGTTATATAAACATATGGTGTTACTCAGAAAAAACAGCGCTCCCTCTGGAGCAGTTGCTGAACAGGAAATCAGTTACAGCATAATTAATCACTTAGCTTTCATTAGTAACTTCGTTGAGAAGGCCATCGGAGCTAGAGTATCCAGAAGCCTATTCAAGACTACAGGACATTTAAAGTTACCAAAAGAATTCCTCATTCTCATGCACACTCATTCATGATGTACTATTTAAACTTGAGGCCACCCCACCACCCCACAAAGTTGTTTCAAGCAATTAAAGTAGTTTCAGATACAAAGCAGCAGAGAATGAAAGAGCAGGAAAATGCAATTGTGAACTGCGGAATCATGCATATTTAAATAAACACAACAAACGTGTGCTGGAAAAAAATCAACAAGTTCTGATTTCAAATAACAACATGCTCTACCAGGTAAATGTGACTTGGACTTTTAAGCCATTTCACAACCACCATGGAAAGAACTGCTGAGAGTTTTACACATAACCAATTCTACAGAGATGGTCTTGTGCACAGAGGAGGGGAGAAAGTCTATCATAGTTATATGGGGAAAAGCCAACCATGCAAAAAAGGAGCAGGAGCCAGTTGGAGAATTCTGAAGTGCACTTACTGCCTGCTTCTGCTCTTCCTCCTACACGTGTTGAAGATTAAAAAAAAAAAAAAAAAAAAATAGGCAGAGGGAGAAAGGAGAGAAATTAATGCCCCAAACCAAAAACATTTGGAAGAAATGACAGAAGAACTGGGAAAACCAGGCCACCAACACCCATGAGTTCACAGATCAAAGGCCCCAACTACCATCAGAGCATGAGCAGGGAAAAGCAAATGGCAGGTGTCTGCCCCATCCAATTCATTAAGTGTTAACTTCTGGAGTTGGAAGGAACTTTAGAAATTATCCAGTTCAACTTCCTTGTTCATAGATAAGAGGCCTACAGAGCCTGAGTTGCCCAGATTCACATAACTTTTTAAGGTAAAGTGAAAGAAGAAGCCCAATCATGATTCAAAATCCCAATATTCATTCTATTTCACCACTCATATAGGAGATATCATTGTTTTGGTTCACAGAGTAGGGAAGTTTCAGAAAGCAGTATGTCATGTTTACACAATTAGTGACTGTGCTCTATGTAGTCTGTCCACAGGTATGAAATCATTATATTCTGCAGCAGAATGGGGGTCAGCTTAGGATGGGGATGGTGGACAGGGCAGCATTTCCAGGACTTAGAGGCCTGCCATGTACACTGGGAATTAGGAGAGGAAGGTTGTGTATAATTGGCATGGTGGTGTATGACTTAAACTCACACAAGTTTTTCACATAAAGCCTTAAAGACTCTGTCAACATAATAAGTAGGTCAGATATAAGGTGATGGAACCTCTTTATTGTTAACTAGTCAGTTGGGGTTAATAAACAAGGCATTGGCATCAACCTGATTTAAAGGAGATAGGTTGGGAAATCTACTGCCATAGTGATAACTGCCTCAGAAACCCAAGGAGGGGTTGCTATGAGTCAGATCTGACTCGACAACAGTGAGTTAGTAATAATACCTGAAGTATAAAGTGCAAATCTAGAACTGCTTATGTTGCCTAAAAACATGTGAGACTCTGCCACATGGGGGGAATCTAGTTAGGTGGCTAAAATAATGGCATAGCTGCTGTGATCTTAAAAATGTACATTCAAACTAGGCAAACATTGCAAATGAGGTTAAAACCCAAATCTGCATAATTCATCTGCTAAATGTATTTCAAAAGCAATACTGAGAAAATGGAAAATGAAAAATATTGGGAACATGAATTAGAAACTGAAGCATCAAGATATAACCTTTTCTAGATTAAATAGTAAATTTGAAGCAGATGTAATCCATATACTCATTAAGCAGGAGAAAAAATATAAGGGAAAAACAGATGCAGAAACACAGGTGCCTCATTGTCAGTCTACATTATGTCATTAAAACAATAAGAAGGTCCCTATGATAGTTAAGGTTGTGTGTTAATTTGGCTAGGCCATGATTCTAAGTGGTCTGGCAGTTATGATGTAGTTATCTCCCATAATGAGATCTGATGTAATATAAACACTTATATGATGAGATGTGCTATGAGCAGCCAATCAATTGAAAGGGAGTTCCCTTTGGCATGTGGCCTGCTTCCAATATATATGGGAAAGGTCTGGCTTTTTACTGGAGGTCTTCCATCTGGCTTATCATTATCTGGACTTCAACTAGTAGCCTGCCATATTGTCTAGCAATTTTGGGATTGTTGCCATCACAGTCTGTGAACCAACAGCCTGTCATTACCTGCCAATTTTGGGTTTGTCAGCCCCTGCAACTACATGAGGAGCTCTGGTAGCGTATTGCCTAAAGCACTTGACTGCTAATTAGAAGGCTGGCAGTTCAAACCCACCAGCCACTTCTCGGAAGGAAGGTTGGGCAATCCTACTTCTGTAGTGATACTGCCTCGGAAACCCAAGAAGGGTCACTATGAGTTGGGGTCCACTCGAGGGCACATAACAACAACAACAATAGCAACTACATGAGTCAGGAAAAGCCTCCAGCTTGATGTCTGACCCACAGACTTGGGACTTGCCAGGCTCTACAACTGCATGAGCCATTTCCTTGAAATAAATTTCCCTCTGTGTGTGTGTAAGTGTGTGTGTATGTATATAAAAAAGGTTCACTGGTTTTGCTTCTCTAGAGACCCAGCCTAAGACAGTCCCTGATACTTTTTGATGATGGAGATCAAGTCTTATTCACTAGTACACGCCAAATACCTAAATATGACACTAAAGAACTCAAAACTTCTTGGTTAAATAGACACATGATTAACTTTTACCCTGCCTTGTTCTTAAGACTTCTTTTGAATGAATAAACAATGTGACACTTCATATGTATGCATCTTTATCATTGATTTCAAATAAATAGATTATAAAGTACATAATACTTTACTGAAACAGTTAAATGAAAGAACTCCTTATGAAATGGAAATTTACTGTGTGATGTATTTTAATTTATGAATATCTGAGACCATGTGGCTTCATTGGCCATTTGACTAACTGCTTACAGCTGTTTTATGAGGGAATTAAATGCTAGCAGACTGAACAGCAATGAAAGCAGGACAGTCGTTTGATATTAAAATTAGGCACTTTTAATTGTGGGTTGGTGAGCATTATTTTTAATAGTAGGAAAACATCTTAGAAATTTTAATAGGAAATCAATGATTCAATATATAACTTTAGGTATGACTTTCTAGGTATGCATATAATACACAAATTAAGATTGTGTTGGATTTCTTTTAGGAAGCTGGACACTAAAGGCATGAGATTTTCAATTGTGAATTCTATTTAATGAATAAAATGAGAACATTCCTGGGTTTGCTGTTTGCAAATTTTTCCTCCCAATCTGAATGGCCTCAGCCTGTGAATGACAAGGCACTTAAGAACATGGCAGGGGATCCTACAAAATGGGGCCTGCTGCAGGGTCCTCTTACTTTACTCAAATTACAACTATAAGACAACAGCTGGAAATATAAAGGAACTCAGGGGTTGGGGTTAGAGTTCCAGGCATTAGCTTATTCTGCTTAGCTCTTGAATACAAGTGTCAGTGGTGGTAGTGGTGGTAGGAATACACACCAGGCTCAAAGCCAGGAACTAAGGAAATCTAACTGCTTATGTTGCTTGTTGTTGTTGTTATGTGCCGTCGAGTCGACCCTGACTCATAGCGACCCCTCCTTGGGTTTCCGAGGCAGTATCACTACGGAAGTAGGATTGCCCAACCTTCCTTCTTAGGAGTGGCTGGTGGGTTTGAACCACCAGTCTTCTGGTTAGCAGTCAAGTGCTTTAGCCACTATGCTACCAGAGCTCCCGCTTATGTTGCTTAGGATAATTCAAATGAAGGGAAATGAACTATGTTTCTTAGGGGAAAGACACTCCAGCTTCTCTTCAGTTTACATAAAATTTTGCCTTTTACCAAAATCACCTTCTCATCTGTGTTTGGATTATGTTTGAGAGCATTGCTCTGAAACGGAGGCTGGATACAGGGCTGGGTGGATCTCCCTATTATCTACTGTAGAGCAGGTGGACTACTTTCCTCAAAAGCAAGGTTTTGAAAGCCCCCTATGGATGTATCTGTTTTTGAGTGGGTGGCCTGGTTGCTTAGCTGGATAACTGGCAGTTATTAGAGGAGTTTGAGCCAAAACAAGACTCATTTAAGACATTAAATGTTTCTCAGGAGAAATCCTGCTAACAGGGTTAATGTAGAAACATGTCCATGTGAAACAACCCAAACACACAGGACCAAAGCTAAAAAAAAAAACTCAGATCAGGACTGAAAGAAATGATTGCCTTCAGCAAGTAAAAGTTGGTTTAAAACACAAACACTATATTTATCCAGGTTGCTAGTACTCACTAATGTTGTTATCAAGTAACTGGCTTAGAGAGAAAAAGTTGAAGAATAGTGTACAAGTTGGTATTTCCTTGGACAAGTACTCTTTGTCTAGACCATTCTGACCTCAGTCTGGATGATTATACTAAAATGAAAACCAAACTCGTGGCCAGAGTCCTTTCTGACTGATAGAGACCCTACATAACAGAGTAGAACTGTCTGTAGGGTTTCTAAGGCTATAAATCTTTCCCAATGCAGACTGCCTCATCTTTCTCCCAGGGAGCTGCTGGTGAGTTAGAACCACTGACCTTTTTGGTTAGCAGTTGAACGCTTAACTACTGTGCCTCTAGGGCTTCACAATTACCTTAGTCTCTCTCCTATTATCCTTTAGTTTCTCACCTTTCTAACACATTCTACATATTTCTCTATTGTTTTCAAAACCTTCAATGGGATGCCCCTTTATGACAGGATTAAATTCATCCATCTCATCCTGGCTTTTGAGACACTCCACACTTAGTCATTTTCACTCTGGTCCCTAATTCCTATCAACCGACCAAATACAGTGGTTTCAAAGCACAGGCAGACAGGACTTTCAGAATTAGCAGCATAAGCAAATGTGCTCTGGAAACAGAGAGAAACGTGGGGGTAGGGGTTAGAGTTAGGGGTTAGGCATTAGCTCATTTTGCTTAGCTCTTAAATATAGTCATCAGTGGTGGTATACACAGCTGGGTAAATATTTTTGTTCAGTGCCCAGTAAATTGGTCCAGGAGGAGCATTTAAATGCCAAGTATGTTCTTCTCTGCTCTGGGGTCTGTTGTTAGCTGTCCTTGAGGTGGCCCATGACTCATAGTAATCCCATGCACAAGGGAACAAAACACTTCCTGGAACTGCACTGGCGCCATGATCAAATGCAGATCAAACCACTGTGATCCACAGTTTCCAATGGCTGATGTTTGGAAGTAGACTGCCAGGCCTTTCTTTCTAGTCCATCTTAGTCTGGAAGCGCCACTGAAACCTGTTCAGCCTCATAAAACAAAAACAAAACCAATTGCCATGGAGTCAATTCTGACTCATAGTACTCTTATGGGATAGGGAAGAACAGCCCCGCAGGATTCCAAGGCTGTAAACCTTTATGGAAGCAGACTGCCACATCTTTCTCTGGCAGAGTGGCTGGTAGGTTTGAACCACCGATTTTTCAGTTAGCAGTCAAGTGCTTAAACCACTGTGCCACCAGGGCTCTTCTTCAGTATCACAGCAACATGTCAACCCCCACTGACAGATGGGTGAGGCTGCACAGGAGGTGCACTGATGGGCACTGAACTGCATGGAAGGGAAGAATTCCACCACTGAACCATCGGGGCCCTCTACTCTGGTGTCTAGTGCTTTTAATAAAATTTTCAACAAAAAGAGATAGCATGACAGGAATTATTCCTGATTTACTCAGGCCCCCAATATAGCAAATCTAGAGCTAATTATTTTATTCATAATATAGTAAAGTCATTGATTAGAATTAGTTGAGATGGGGCTTGATTTGATTAGGTTGATTTGCCTTGGTAGTATTTAAATAGGATATTTAATATTTGTTAGGTATTTAAGTGGAATGTTTAAAAATATTTGAAAATGTCTCTTAAGAGAAACTAAATAGTTGAGAAGTATTATTCACTTATACATAGTTAATTAATATCCTATTAATAAACATTCTTATTTATATGCATAACAGTAACTATCTAAGGATATTATCCTGTTTCTAGTTACTATTTTTTATAACCAGGCTTTACATTAATCTAGATGACTTTTATATCTCATTTGGCTAAGTTTATAGAGGTTATCCAGGCAGCGATATTCAAGCCTTTCGCCCCATCGTGTTTCGATATCACAAGGGAGGCAGAAGTGGCGGCTATGTGGAAAATGCACAAGGGAAGCTGAGAGGGTTGGGGCAGGGAAGCTGAAAGTGGGCTCTGAACTTACCTTCAGTAACTTCATTAGCCCTTCCAGTTGGACCATTAGCTCCCGCCTGCTCTCCTGTAGGGCTGACATTCTCTGCTCCAGCTCATCCTTCCTTTGCCTGTCCGAGAGGAAAGGCCCATCAGAAATGATACTTTGAAAATAAAGGGACCCTTAAAAATGGATCTTAGGCCAGGTGAAACGGGATTTAGACCTGATTCTACTATTTACCAGTTCTGAGACGCTCTCTGCTACCTCATCTCTCTGATACCTCATTTATAAAATGGGGATAACATCTATTTTGCCTACTTTTCTGTCCTGTTTTGAGAATAATATGTAAAAATGTTTTGGGATGTATATACTGCTCTGAATAAAGAGAAAAGAATTATTAATATTACTATTAAGTAAAAAATTTTTAAATTCTTCTTCTTCATAAAGTCAAATAACCTCATTTAGAAAGATACATAAGACTAGTTCACATTTAAATTAATAGTGGAAACATGGTATGAAAACTACGCAGGGAAAACAGTGTTCAGTAGTCGATGCTTTCAGCACCAGACAGAAGATTCTATGTGTGTCAGGGATCAGAATGACTCTTTGTCTAAGAGAACTCACATTCCAAGGCCAAGTTTCATTGCATCAATTCTAGCTCACCATGTCCACAACCAGACTTAAGACTTTATCTCCCAAAATGATCTCTCTCCCACCTTCCCAATCTCTGCCACTTTTTCTTCCAATTATCATGGCTGAAAAACTCAGTCCTCTCTGATACTTTCTATTCATATCTTCTATTCAATTAGTCAACCAATTCAGATGATTCTTTCTTGAAAATTAATGTCCCTATCTTCTATGTTTACATCTCTCACTTTATCCAGTTGCTCCTTTATCTCACACATGCTCCAGTTGCTTAGCTTAATTAATCCAGATTTCATTTGTTTTGGTGAGGAAGAAAACAGTGGAACATAAATTGAGAGATGTGAGATCTAATCCTGCCCTATTATTCACTCAGTATGCAACCTTGGACAAGTTACTTAATATCTATGAGCCTCAATTTTCTCTTCTCTTAAATGGGACTAATAATAATAATGAAAAACAAGCAGCAATATGTCAAAGGAGTATTTTGAGGATCAAATGAGGTAACAGATATGTAAGTGTTCTGTGGAAGTTAAAATGCTGCTCACAGGAAAGCTGTGTTTGTTGCATTACCCATGTAATCACCTCAATAGTTTCTAACACCACTGACTCCCGTCTGCCACAGCCTAGACTTATGCTGTCCTGCACAGCAGCCATTGGCCACACATGGTAACTGAACACCTGAAATGTAATTAGTCTGAACTGAGATGTGTTGTAACTGTATATTACACATTGGATTTTGAAAACAGGATTAAAAAAAATATATAGATATCTTATTAATAACCTTTAAAATATTGATTACATGTTGAAATGATAATATCTTGTATATATTAAGTTAAATAAAACATACTGTTAAAATTAATGATACCTATTTCTTTTAAGCTTTTCTAATGTGGCTATTAAAAAATTTAAACGACATATTAACCAAAACATAGTACGCACACACAAGAGAATACTATGCAACCCTAAAGAATAACGTAGACTCTGCAAAACACCGGATAATGTGGATGAACTTGGAGGACATTATACTGAGTGAAATAAGTCAATCACAGAAGAACAAATATTGTAATAGCTGCTATTGTGAAAAGGCAAGGAAAGGTTTATTTATATATGGAAGAAAACTTTCTTTGTTGGTTACCAGGGTTGGGAGCAGAGGTGAGGGGAGGGAACACTGCTAGATAGGTAGAGACAAGTACTGATTTGGGTGAAGGGAAGGGCAACGTACCAAAAGTGAGCGATCAACATGGTGGCACTGAGGAAGAGGAAGGCATAGAGAGGTGCATGGGAGGTACAGACAACAAAGATGAACTCTTTTGCACATACAGCACTGTGTTGTCAATGAAGGCAAACACTAATACATGGGTAGATAGATGGGTGGGCAGGCTGAACGATTAGGTATGTCTACGTAGGGAGGAGTTGTGCCCATGACCATGTATAGGGTTTGCAGACAATGTTTCTACAAGTGTATTTGTATGTTCTGTAAGAATTTACAGGTATATAGTAGAGCTGACAAGGGACAAGAGTGTAGTCACTTCTTGGCCACAGCCAGCCAGCCAGAGGGAGCAAGAAAGCAAGACCTGTGGGCTTGGGACCATGGTTGTAGAAGACATCAAGCTCAACTGGCATACCACACAAAAACAGTGTTCTACATTCTACTTTGGTGAGTAGTGACTGGGATCTTAAAAGCTTGCAAGCGGCCATCTAGATCCAAGGATGGGTCTTTCCTTGTCCAGAACAAAGAAGAATGAAGAAAACCAAAGATGCAAGGAAACAATTAGTCCAAGGGACTGGTACACCATGTGATCCTCAGCATATATGACTATGAGACCAGAAGAACTAGTTGGTGCCCAGCTACCACTGTAAACCACTCAGAGGGGGATCTATGTAGGAGATCCTGGATAGAATGGGAGAAAAATGTGGAACAAAACTCAAAATCACACACACACACACAAAAGGGACCAGGTTTGCTGGTCTGATAGAGCCTGGTGGAACCCCTGAGACTGTGGCTCTAGCTACCCATCAGGTCTGAAATTGAACCCACTCTTGTGGCTTCCAGCCAAATAAAAGACAGGCATATGAACTGAACATCTACATTAGGTAGATACACTCTTGGAGAGATCAATCATGGGAGAATAAAAGGGCTGTGTATGCACAGGGAGACAGCTTGGGGGGAGGAATGCATGGGAGGGAAGGACACAGGGAAGAGGTGACTGTGGGAGGAAGTGGGAGGAAAGCTGTTGCATTGTGGGAGATTGCAGTCAATGTCATGAAACAAAGTGTATGTAAACTGCTGTATGGAAGATGAATTTGCTCTGTAAACTTTCATACAAGTCATAATAAAATTAAAAAAAAAAATTTAAATGACATATGGGACTCCCATCATATTTCTATTAGAGAGTGCTACTCTAGACTCTACCTACCTTCCTATCTTTAGTGTCTCCTATTCCCTTTCATGTCTGGAATGCCAGTCGATGGTTCATTTTTTTTTTTCTAAATATTTTACTATTCATAGCTATGCCCACTTCTCTCCAACATATTCACTCATAAATGCTCATCCTAAACATCACTCTTTTTAGGAAGCTGTTTCTGATGTCTTCAGCAGGTATCAGGTCCTGCCTAATTAATCATTATAGAACTTCATGCTTCTCTGGGGCACTTAACTTACTTTCTCTTGCATTGCTGTCACTCCTTCTATGATATGAAATCCTTGATGTCAGGGGAAGAGTCTTATTCATCTTTTTATGTGCTGAAGGATTAAAAGACTATCATTTTATCTAGTCTGTGCTTGGTTAACATATAGTGAACTCAATGAAATCATCATTTGAAACCTTCCAAGGATTTCCTATGACCTATCACTTAATGCTCTCCAAATCTGGTCTAAATTACCTAATTGATTTTACTTCCTATCACTGGCATTCTAAAGAATAATTCAATGAAAGATTGAAAACAAACTCTTAGTGTCAATTCTCTTTTCCCTCTCTGAAATATGCCATACTTACTTGGGAAATCATGCTGATTCCCAACTCCACTCCACTTCCAATCTGACATGCTTTGTTCTAAACCCTATCCAAATCACACCTATCTTTCATGGTCTAACTTTACTTCTACCACCTCCATGGGTCTAATTGCCCCCAGGCTCTCTCATGTATATATATGTTGTTCTGGTTACCTAGTGCTGCACTGGCAAGAATCTACCACAAATGGGATGCTTGAAGAAACAGGAGTTTATTTTCTTACAGTTTGGAGGCTTCAAGTCCAAGTTCAAATTGCCAGGCTCTAGGGGCTGGGTGAAAGTCCCTTAACCTTAGGCTTCAGCTCTGTCTCCTGCTCCTGGCCCACTGAAGCAGGAGGGTTTTCACTCACACAGCTGCTGGCTGCTGAGGCTGACAAGCCCAAGGTTGACAAGTAAAAAGGCACAGTCCCAATGTTACCAAAACATATGGCAGGCCATTAATTCAAGTCCATTGAAAGTCCCAAGGTCAGCAGAGCATGGCAGGCTACTGAACAACGACACAGCTACATGCAGGGTTCAAGTGAGCCATAGGCTGGAGACCATTCCCGAAGCTTCTTCTTATATGCAGGAAGCAGACTTTATTCCTAAAGCACCTACTCAGCTGCTTGTGGTAGATCCCACCATGGAGTTGACTGCCAGTCTCATCATGGGGAATAACTACCACCAGCTTCCCAGCCACTCAACCAGGCCCACCAAGGTGACACACAACCTTAACTACGACATAAATATATATATTTGAACTGCCAGCCTTCTAGTTAGCAGTCAAATGCCTTAGGAACTATGCCACCAGAGCTCCAAACATCTCATATACATACAATTTTCTCTATATATATATATATATATATATATATATATATGTACTTATATTAAATATATGTCTTCCCCATACATATTTCTTATAATATCAATCTTACTAACATCATATAATATTACTTGTCTTCTAAATAATTTGTTTGCTTCCAAAACTAGATTATAAGGATGGATCTTTGTCAACAGCTTTCATAGGAGGCTTTCCTTCCCTGAATGCCTGAGCCTGACTGTGGTACTCTTTCTCTGTGCTGTGCATGACCAAATAATTATAACACAAGGTGTGATGGTTATGTTTGTATGTCAGCTTGGCTAGGCCTGGTAATCTTTTTCTTTTCTTTTTTTTACATTGTGATTTGGGTGAAAGTTTATACAGCAAATTCATTTTCCATTCAACAATTCATACACATTTTGGTTCATGACATTGATTGCAATCCCCATAATGTAGCAGCTCTCTTTCTACCTCCTCCCTGTGGTTACCTTTTCCCTGTGTCCTTTCCTATGCATTCCCGCCCTCTGAGCTTACTCCCTGTGCAAATGCTGCCCTTCTGATCTCCCATGGTTGACTGATCTAAGGAGTGTACCTAGCTGGCATAAATGTTCGCCTTCTATGCCTATTGTTTGGCTAGAAGCCACAGGAGTGAATTCAACTTCAGGCCCAAAGGGTG